GCAACACTCCTTCTGCAGGTGTTCTGAGCAGCTTATCAGCCACCTGTGGAGGGCAGCTGCCCAGGAAGCACCAAGAGGAACTTCATTCCCCTCCCTTAGCAGGCTCAAGAGGGTCTTCAGCTTGGACTGGGGGGGAGGGGGCCCTGGGGGGGAGGGGCCTCCTCCCTTTGTTTCCCTGCCCCACTATTTATTCACCTGCTTCACACTAATATCCATGAGTTAGAGATGCTGCATTAAGTGAGACAAAGATGCTGAATCCAAATATTTCAATTGAAAACAACAACAAAAAAATTACCTGCTGTACCTCTCAGTTTACTTGTAAAGTGAATAGAGAAACCTGAGGATATTTCATGTGGTTTTAAAAATTTGCAAATAATCATTGCATCGAGAATGCAAAGATTTCAGCAAATTAGTCACTTTCTATACCAGTTCACATAAATGATCAAATGTGAACTCTTTTTTCCACTGCTTCTGCAGTCCCTAACATTCCAAGCTGATGGTCATCACCGGGGACTTTGTGACAAAATGGCCCCAGGTTGACTACCCCTCAGACACATCCTCTGATTTGAATTATCTTTTTGAAATGTCTAAGGGGATAAGTGGTGATATTTTGGATGAGTACCAAGGACATCTTCTTCCCTGCTCTTCTCTGCAACCTGTCATATCACCTGCTCATTGAAGTCACACATCAGATGTTATGGGTCATGGATTAGTCCAGAGATTGTAACCCAAGAGCTTCTGTTACTTTAATATCTCTGGAATGATAAATTGTCTTCTAAATTCTAGTGAGATATTTGGGAACCCCTAAGTAGCTTCAGGATGGCGAATGGTCAGGTCACCAGAAAGACCAAGGCATGCTTAAAGGGTAGACAAATTTTTAATTATTTTAATTTATAATTGATGGGAACGTTGAAATGTTGAGCCACACCCGCGGGACCTCAGGAAGGAAAAAGGGATGAGTCATGAGTGAATCCTCAAGGACTGATGAACTAATCCATCATGTTAAAATACCAGAAACCTACGCGAGGGCCCCTAAATGTGGTGTGTGAACTTCTGGGTAGGTGGACACACAGAGGTGCTGGAAGCTTGGGACCTCTGGGTGGGACCTGGAAGATTCCTTATCCCCTAACTCCATAGCTTGCCCTACATCTCTTCTATTTGGCTCTTCCTGGGTTGTATCCTTTATCATAAACTAGTAATACTAAGAACTTTCCTGAACTCTGTGAGTCCTTTTAGCAAATTAGCAATCCTGAAGGAACGGGGAGAGTGTGGGAACTTGACGCCATAGCCAATCTTGGCAGAAATGTGGGTACTTTTGAATCCCCAATTTTTCACTTGCATCTGACATAAGGGTTGTCTTGGGGGACTCAGCCCTTAAACCTGTGGAGTCAGGTAGTGTCAGAATCCAGTGGAATCTTAAAAATGGCTAAGAAGAACCAGGAATATGTTTACTATCATGAGTCTGAAAAATGCGTACGTTTAATTTTAATTTTTTTTTAAGTTGTAGTTGGACACAATGCCTTTATTTTATTTATTTTTATGTGGTGCTGAGGATCAAACCCGGGGCCTCGCACATGCTAGGCGAGCGCTTTACTGCTGAGCCACAACCCCAGCCCTAATTTTAATTTTTTATTTTAAGAGTCTCTGCGAAAGAGTCCAATGGAGATAAACTTCCTATTTTCCTGTTGCCCTGTTTTACTTGGCCACTGGCAGAGAAGATACCAGCACTCTAGGTGCTTGACACCCCCTTACTAGTTTTTCACAAACTT